GGTTTAGAGAATCGACCCCTGTTAGTAATCTCTGGAGCCCTCGTACAACTCTAGAAGATCTGGGTCTAGGCTCTGTAGCTCGTCCCTGTCAATCCAAGTATCCTCTATCTCTGGTGTCCCTTTCCAATGAACTAGGTATTTTCAGCTCCCTTTCCAATGGAAATGATCTCATCATCTAGTATTGCTTCGATCTTCTCCGCTATGGGTAAGTGGGGTAAATTGGGGAGTGGAGGTAGGCTGGGGAATCTCACTTGGTGGGTTCTCATAAGGCTCATTTTGAATTGGATTATTAGGGTTCAACTCAGGTCTCTCAAAGGTTACTAGATATTCTATATTAAATGTAGGATTGATGTTAAAACCCTTAGGGGGTCCAGCATATAAGCATTACTATTTATCTTTGAAATTATCTTCAAGGTCCGACGCTTCTAGCATGTGACTTCTTCACGGAGCTCGGAGGGATCCGTACCATCACAAAGTTTTTAACCTCGAATTCTTTAAATCTTTTATTGTGATCCAAAATAAGCTTATAATTGGAATTACTTTGTTCAATTCTTCTTTTAATTTCTTTATGAAGCTCCTTGAGATGAGATGCAAATGCATATGCAAAAGAACCGGTACGCATGACGAATGACAAGAATCAAGGCTCACACAAAAGTTTTAAACAGAAATAACTTTGGAAGACAACATACTATAAAAAAAAACACACACACAACATACTAACTCCTACGAACACAGTTAGAATAAAGGTGGACGAGTTACGAAAAGAGGGGTCTAAAGTGTTCGGTATAAGGGAACCGGTGTAGGGGGAGAAAGGAAGACACTCTTAGCTACCATGGCACTTCTATAGCTAGATTCAGTTAGGGTTGACAGCAGTCTCTTAGTGGTAATAGTGTAATCGAACAAATTCACCCAATTAGGATTGAGGTGGTCCTTATCATGGTAGGACGAGGCTATAACGAGCAAAATGTATGAATCAGGAATAAAATAAGATAGTGGGTCCTGACTCACATCCATAAGGGGATAGCCCAAAGATTCGTCAGCAGGTATGGGACTTATAAGATGGGAAAAAGTTCATAGGACATATGTGAGTACAAAAATAAGAGAGACATCAGGAAGGATGGGCTCACGCTCTGTCGAATATTAAAGTTGGTACAAGGAACGGTGCGGTAAGTCAAATCAGGATTGACACACTCTGCCAAATATAAATCTAAATGAGCAGCTCTACAGTTAGACTCTAATGAAACAAGAGGAGGCTCATTGTTCAAATCAGGTTCAAAAACTTTCAGAATCAAATCACTGTCTTTCGAACTCATATTTCTATCATCAATAGAATCAGATTTGGGTATAACCTTAAGATTGATAGATTCAGGGTTAGTTAAATTGGGATTCAAATCAGACAGTAAATTCAATTTAACCACTTCCAACTCGAGATTATTACCATCAAGATTATCTAAAGTCATCTCAGTAGGTGTTACAACTAAATCAGGATCTTCCAAATTTAAATTCAATGTGTTCGAAGTCAGATTCGCTTCTTTCGAGATCACATTACTATCATCCAGGCATACTTTATCCAAAGAGTTATCCTCGAGGAGATTAGGATCGGGGTGGGCTAAGGTGTCGACGTTTAAAGGTTCTAATTATCCTAGCTTAGGATTTAAGTCATGCTGGGAGTCTGATTCAATCACTTTCCTCCTCAAAGAAGTCCTCGTTATCGCTAGTATCCACAAAATGGATGTATCCAATTTCAGATTCAATAAATTTGTTTTTTTTTAATGTAATTCTTTATCAAAATCACACTTGCAAGGTCAAGGACTGGGGAAGCTACAGGTTGACTGGAATGGCTAGAAATAGGTCCAAGTGGGAAGTCATAAGAGATTGGTGCAACAGAAGACCCAGTAGAGGGTCGGCCATCAAGGTTAGGTGAAGACCTATGGGTGGGGTAGCAACCCAGATGTTACTAATGGGTGGGTGGTCTCGACCACAGTAAGGTCCACGGGTTATCACAACAAAAGAGGTAGGGTGATGCTCTAGATGGCAGTCACTAGTAGATGGTCGATATTTCAAATTAAGTTCTCGTCTCATGTCTTTACAAGAGGTGCCAACACATTTTTGGATCCATCCTCCATCTATCAACCAAAGATTCTTGATCACCAAAATCCTCTAAATATCCAAAGAACTTTGCAAGTTCTATATTAATTTTTCTTCTCTCCTCCTCATTTGAAAAACATCGTTTCAAGCATATCTTTCTCATATTTGAAACTTCTAAATCTTTTTGTGGTGAGACACGTTGAGGGTCTTCTAGAAGCCATTCTTTACTTGAATACCTTCAAATAATATAAAGCATATAAAATTACATGTTCATTAACCAAGAAATTTAAATTAATTTAAAAGATGAATATGAATGTACCTTGGATTTAATGAATGAGCCAAACAATACAAAGGTGTGTTGCCTTTGCTCCACCTATCCTCAAGAATGGTATAGACAACACTCCAAAAATTTGAGTCTTCTTCATGTGACTTTCTTTCATGTTTGTAAATAATTTCTTTCACTTTTGCTAACATAGAATCTCACATCTCATAAATCAAATGTAGACATGATTTATCTGTGTCAGCCTCTCTCAACATATCATAGATTGGATCAGTGAAATCCAAAATATAATCTACATTATCCCATCACAAATCATCTAAGATCTTTTCTTTAACATATCTTGTCTTCCCAATATCATATTCTCGATAGCAAGACCACTTCTCACTAATCATCATAGATTGAATAGCACTTTTAATTTGCTTGAATCTTCTCAACATGATTATTACAGAGGCAAAAAGAGTTTCAACAACAGCTAACATTCTCAAGTGGGAAAAGTCATTAAACATTGAAAGTCTCATTGAATGGTTCATAATAAAATTTCTGATCATAACAGTATCATCTACAACCACTGTTATCCAATGACATTCAGCATAAATGATTTCATTTGCCTTTGTATTCTTTGTTGCACAAATATTTTTAGTGCAAAATTTAAAGTGTGCACAACACAGGTTGTCCAGAATATATGGGGAAAAGATTGCTCAACTAACAATCCTGCAGCTCTGCATACCGGTGCATTATCTGTAATAACCTGCACAATATTTGAAGGCCCGATCATGACTATCACCTCATTAATCAAATTTGCAATAAAAAATTTATCCTTGTATTCTCCTTCACAATTCACAGCTTTAATAAACATAGGATAATTCTCTGTAACGGCAATAAAATTTATGAGTTGTCTTCTTTGAGGATCTGTCCAACCATCACACATCAAACTAACACCTTTTTTCTTTCCATACACCGTTTGTTGGTTCAAGCAATGTCTCAATGTGTGATCTTTCCCTTTCCAATAATTTCGATCTTAATGCATTATAACCAGGTGGAACATATCCTGCAAGGTTGTTGCTACATGCAAAACTGAATGCATTTTTATAATAAGGATTTCTTGCAAGGTTGAAAGGTAAGCCTGCTGAAAAAAATATCCTTGCTATTTCACCATCTAATTCCTCTCGCTGCTGCAAGCTGAAAGTCTTCTTCAAAGGACTACTGGCAACTCCTTTTCTTCTATTTGTTTCATGCCCTTCACCTCTAAATGATAAAGAATGATCAACTCTAACAGATGAGGAAGAGGCATGGGACGAACCATGGGTAGATGGCAAAGGTATCTCCTTAGGAAGTGCCCTTTTGATCCTACATTCAGCTTCATCAACTTGTTTGCTCATTTCAATCAACTGTGAAGCAGTAATCTTGGGACACATTTTAATTCCATGGCCAGCTATCTTAGGTAGATGTGCTTTCACCCTAGAATATGATCCTTTGTAGGTACCACCACAATAATTGCATTTGAATGAAACATTCCCTCCTCCTTCAAATGTTTTACCTAACTTGGTAACATGAAGCCATAAAGGCTTATCAGTTTCTACAGATTATTCTTTTGAACCTTCGCCTAATCCACTCCCACTAGCCGTAGAGCTCATTTTACTTTAAAATACACTGGTAAAATGAAAGTAATAAAGGCTTAATAGATGTATGAAACTCATTTCAATAAAAATATAAAGCTCTCTCACAATAAAGCAAAAGCAAGAACTAGGATGACTTTCATACTAAGATTTGAACACTTATGATTACATCAACAATAAACAATGCCATATTAGTTAACCCATTCAAAGAAAAAGATAGAGACCCCAATATAAGGTAATTTGATAACATTTGGTTGACTTTAACTAAAAGCAGGGTATGCCAAGTAAAATCAACCATGCAATGTAGCTTGCAATCAGCAAACATGCTAGCTTCTCACATGGTATGGGTAATTTAAAAATTAATAGCATTCAAATATGTATAAGGACTTATGTAGCATATAAGAGAGTTACTATAAATGTGAAGTAAAGAAATAAAAGAGTTTTATTTACTTTGCATTCATATGACAGTTTAACTTTACTAAGTACCCATAATTGTACCGTAAGAATAAAATTAGATACCACTGTAGGGTCCATGGGAATTAAAGACCACCAACGCAAGTTCAGGATTTGTCACAGAAAGTTTCTACAAATTTAAAATAATGATATTACAAGTAAATATTGGCAATGCAAATAATGTTAAAGGGTGCCATTATGAAGTAAAACCTAAATAGAAAGGCTAAATCTATCTAATCTGCAACTAATTGATGCAACTCCCAAAAAATAGGAACTAGGAAATAATATGTTTTACATTCAACCATTGTTAATTTTTTTTCTAGCAGGATTTGATCAAAAGAAAGTTCAGCATTTAAACCGATGAACTTACACTTTTTAAATTCAGGTCTCGTATGCAAAAAAAAACAAAAGCAAAAAAAACATACAATCTACAACCTAGGGTTTGATTTAGGTAAAAACAAGAAAAATCACACAACATGCTCTTGTGAACACAAATCCACATGATAAATGAGAAAAAATTGAGAGAAAGGACAGAATGGCAAAAAAAACGAAATCTAACTTACAGTAAATTTTTTAGGGCCGATGGTTGCTCGCGAGTGCGGCGGAAGAACCTCGACAGCACGGAGAAGGAAGAACCTCGACGGCTGCTCGCAAGTGCGGCGACGGTGCGGGAAGAACCTCGCCGGTGCGCGGCTGCTCGCGAGTCGCGGGTGCGGCTGCTCCTTTCGCTCGAATGGAAGCAAACAGCGGAAACGGGATTACGGCGGAATAGCGAGTGAACCGGTGCTTTAAGTGTTTTTTTTTTAATTTAAAATATGAAATAGTCGGACACGCGTGTCCGACACGCGTGTCCGGCTTAAGTTTTTTAAAAAGAATTCTGGACACGCTCAAACCGTGTCGGACATGTGTCCCCACCATGTCGGGCACGTGTCCATGGCCAACACGTGTCCGACACTGTACTACCTCTTAAAACTGAGTGTCGGTACATCATAGAATAAGAACAAAGTTCAAAGCTTCCTTCGCAAGTACATCTTACTTGATTCCTTCCCCAACAAGCTCACTTTTTGCCAGTCAGAGCTAGCTATTGATTCTGAGTGCCTAGCCTAAATTCAAGTTCGCTAATCATGTCTCGCAAAACAAGCTTCAGCAAGTTTCACCAATCCCATTTGCAAGCCCTAGCACCCAACGAAATTATATCACGTCGCGGGTCATTTCCACGTTCGACCCAAACCCGACCCGTGAACCGAAATTTACACCCCTAGCTTTAATAAGTTGTTTGCACATATGAAAGAGGATTCATTTAGTTTAAAATAAACTTACGGGCCTATTTCTCTAAGAAATTATCCAACATGCATTTTTTCTTCAATTTTGTGTTTTATGAGGGCTATGAAGTCAAAATTTTCTTATAAAATTTTAAATTCTGATTAATCAAATTCATTTTCAAATGAAATTAAATTGAATCAAGTTTAAATCTTTTATTAATTCAGTTCAAATTTGAATAAACCATAATACAATTAATTTTAATGATGAACCTAAATGTTTTTAACTTACATAGCATATCTTAATAAGAATATCAAACTATTTTTGCTAAAATTCATTAATAAGAATATCAAACTATTTTTTGCTAAAATTTGATTAAATTTTAGCCTATAAAATAAATAATATTCATTGATCTTTTTATCTCTTCCCTGCTCCATTTTATGAATAATCTAATATTCATAATCACTATGAAACAAGTACGTATCTCATTTTTTTATGTGTAAACTATGTATTTTATTTCTGTAAAAATGAAAATTTTAATTTTTTTTTTATAAATTAAATAATTGATTAGTTATGTTTTTATTCTTAGATGATGAGCAAACATGTCACAATTGAATCTTTTATTTTGGGCAAAAACTATTTTGCCATATAAAGCCTTTTATATTAAAACAACTATAGTTTTAGTGATGCTTTTCAACACATAAAAGTCACTATTGATGTTGCTACACTAGTAGAAGCTGCTACATATACCCAAAGAAATGGAAGTAGAGCACATACATAGTGATGATTTTATTATTCTGTCTACTAATGGTGTTGATGAATTTTATCACCTCAAGTGGCCAACTTCTGAAACAATTATTAGGTCAGGTGTCCTGGCGTAGCTCTACGTTCGGACGTCAATAACATATCGCCACATGCTCTTACTCTTTACCGCATAGCCCGATGACTTGACCCGGACCGGAACCTGGGATTGCTATGTTCGCGTATTACTAGGTATTGCTTGGCAATAATGAAAAATATCGTTCAGTGAAGACCAATACCGAGCAATACCTAGCAAAACTCGGTATGACTCGGTATTGCTCGGTATTGGTATTCACATAATGGTATTTCTCGTTATTGCCGAGCAAAATCGACCAATACCTAGCAATACGCGAACATAGCGATCCCGGGGCCGTTCTGGGTCGGGTTGTCGGGCTGCGCGGTAAAGAGTAAGAACATGTGGCACTATTTTACTGACGTCTGAACGGAGAACTACGTCAGGTCACTTGACTAAATAAAAGTTCCAACTTCTGACACCTTTGAGTATACTTGCCCTTCTTTCTTTCCAAGCTTGTATGGGTTCCTTTTTCATATTCCCATGACTTTCCAATTAAAGGGATATTGGAAGTTCCTCAAGGGCTTGCCTAGTTGATTTTAGGTACATTTAATTAATCTAATGTTCACTACTTTTAGTAGTTCAAAGTATTTGCTATATTATGATTGCATGGGTAGGACAACTAGACATACTAGAAATATTCATCTTGGAATGCAACAAATGCATTGAAAAAATTCTATTATTTTAAAATCACCAAACTAATTTGATGCTTTGATTGACTCCACAAATTAAAAGCTAATAGATATTTTTTTAAGTACGACTCTTCCAATCAGGGGCGGAACCAGCCCTAATTTTCAGGGGGGGGGGCAAACTTATAAGACATATATGTCGGGGGTCCAAGGGGGCATTGTCCCCTGGCGGGGTTCGACCTGTTGGGGGCAATTACCTAAAGATCATAGTATTTTAAAATTTTTAGGGGGGGCAATTGCCTGAAAACCCTTGTAATAAAGACTAAAAAAATGAATAAAAAGGAGTAAATTACCTAAAAAACCATATAAAAAATTTTTAAAAAAAAAATTTTGAGGGGGAGCAATTGCCCCCCCTGGAACCCATTGGGTTCCGCCCCTGCTTCCAATAGTGCACATTAATAAAGAAACTTCTCATACAGTAACACAAAAATTAGTTATATGTCTGGTAAAGGTCCATTCACCAAACAAAAGCTATCTTTTTGAATTGCTTTATACTAATCACCATGTCCTGAAGAATGTTTTGTATTATCTGTCTCCCAATAAATATTTCAAGAACACAAGAATCTATTCTTCTTAACAGTGGATCTAATAATGAGCCTCTTACTTGGAATAACTATGGAATGAAAATTATTTCTTATTTTTCTTTCATATTATTTGAGCATCCTATTGTATTTCTTGCAATAAAAATGAAAAGGCTTCTTCATGAATACTTGCCAAGCGCGCACGGACACCAAAGTAGGTTTATTCTAAGGATTTTCTAATAGTTTTATCATTATTTTGAAAACTTAATCAAAAAGAATGAAAAAAGACTTATAAAAAATTATTATGAAAAGAGATAATCCCCGGAAGATCTTATCTATGCCAATAGGGGTGTCAATATTGAACCCGACCTGAAAATTTTAGGTTTGGGTTGACCTGAACCTGAAGCGGGTCGGTTCAGAATCAGAAAACCAAACCGTTTGCAAAATCTGGTCTGGTTCGGGTTGACCCGGAAATCTGGGAATGCCCAAAATAACTCAAAAAAACTCGTTCTTAGCTCGTTTCTTTGCTTCTGATCAAAATGTTAACTTTCGATCTGATTAGAAGGGAACGTCGTCCAATGAGCATAGGAGCGAAGTCGAACAACAATGAAGGAGACGTACGACGAGGGCCGCGAGGCAGAAAGTTCTTCACAACAAGTGAACTCTTGTCGCTGCTTCCTATAAAAATGTTGTAACTTCCGATTCTGATCAGAAGAGAACGTCTGTAATAGCAGAACAATAGCAGTTCTGTACATATCGCCCAGGCCGATCATGGATCGTCCTGAGACGATCAGTTGTAAGTTTGTTCCAGATTCTGTACATAAGTTACAGGAAAAATTTCCTGTATGGATCGTCCAGGCCGATCTGGGATCGTCCCGGGACGATCAGTTCATGGCAAAAGTCAGAGAGCTAATCGTCCTGGAAATTAATTATCATCCTGAGAAATCGTCCCAAGACGATGTGGAATTTGGTCAGATCGTCCAGGATGATCGTGCGATCGGCCGGGCCGAATAGAGCATTTTAAAGCTGAAATCAGCTCATTTTGAAGAGAGAGAAAATCAAATAAATATCTAAATTTCAGCTGAGGAGAGAGAAGGTCGAGGGAAAAGTTGATTTTCGGGCAACGCCGGGCCGTTTTCGTCCGATGAGACTGTTCAGGAAAGTGTTGTACGCAAGGTAAGGCACATTCCGCTTTTCACAATTTTCAGAACGGTGAAGTTTGAACAAGTTTTCTGTCCGGATTTCGTTTTCGTTAGCAAATTTTGTCCGTATTTTCCGACTGGTTCAGTTTTTACCGCGTAACTTTTGATATGTTTCTGAGGTGCCGAGTGTGCACATTTTGATTATTTTCTGGAGATTTTTAACCGAGTAATTTTGATTTGGCGGCGTTTTCTGTTGCCTGTAAATTTTCACGATGTCTGTAAATGTTGTGGCAGTAGAATAAAAGTCTTATAATGTTGTTGTGAATGTTCTGTGGTAATTTGGTGAAATTCTGTTTCGGTGAATTTTTGTGTAAATTCCGTATATAGCCGTTATGCCACCGGATTTTCGTACGATTTCTGAATTTGTCCGAATTTGTTCTGAA